ATATTTGAAATCTTTCTCCGGGTTTTCTACCGGGCCAATTCATGAACTTCTTATACATAAACAAATACATGTATGAGTCCGACAGATCATTTGTGTAATGCTTTGGCAGGTTTTTTTATTTTTTAAATAACCCCATAACCTTTCAATGTTTTGAGTATGATCATCTGTTTTTGGGGTTTACAAAGTTTTTTGAATGATTAATTAACTGTTGTATGTTCAATGTCTATTCCTTCAATGTCGTCGATGTGATTATATCCCTTCCACTCATCGGTGATAATTAGACTACCAGAATTTTAGACATAACCCAATTTAGGGTGGTTTCAGACCTGTCATTCACATGACAAATGAAGCAATTTTTGTCCTCTCTGCATATTCCTCATATGACCCATTTTGTAGATTTCGATATACGCCCTTTTCGTACTTGCGTTTGCATATTACTGTCTCATCTAATTCGACGGTTTTATTAGGACCTCCTATTTTAAATTATGTCATATTATTCAAGGCTATAAGCAAAAATAAATGTATGTGGTTTGACCAATCGATGCCGGTCTTTCTAGAAATACCTGCAGCAACAGCCGAATTTGTTGACGTACAGTACAGTACATTCCAAACAAAATAGTATAGAGAAAACTGTCATAGAGTACACAAAACATGCAACGACAAACCTTCGCGAACGTCTCACTAACTATTAATTTGCATATTTCCACGAGAAACATTCATCTACTGCGTCATATCTAATAATTTGCATGTTTACGCACAAACATATGTTACGGCTCGTTCAACAAATGTGCATATTTCGTCACGCGTTGTATCAGATCAGTGGCGTAGCGTAGTGGGGGCGGCCGGGGCGGCAAAATTTCACAATAAATAACAATAATATCTTGTAAAAACTTGAACCATTTCATCACATATTTTCATCGCACCTACGATTCGGACCGATTGAAATGAGCACGAAAAGTGTCATCATCCGGACAGTCCGGGATATCGTGCACAGCCTGTTGCCAAGTCTCACTAATCGCTAACTGAACTGCCATGCACTGCACATTATTCTTCGCATTGCAAAATGACATTACGCATGCGTCAGGAACTTCCGTTCAAACAAACATCACCTGCCGTCCGGGTCAGCGATTTTAAAAATGTGGCAACACTAGCACGGAATTTTTCATTACTAATTCTGTGACGAAACTGAATTTTAGTTTTTTTAAATTGAGATATCTAAATAAGGGGGCGGCGAAATTTTCCTTTGCCCCGGGCGACTCATACCCACACTACGCCACTGTATCAGATAGCTCCTTCTGTCAACTATTCCACAAAATGCCCCGAATCGAGATTGCCGGAAGTTCCGCCATTTTGGAACCATAGTTAACATCAACCAAGAATACCAAGGTAGGTTAAATTCTCAGAACACAGTTAAATGCAAAACACATAGTTAAAGCAATAAACACATATGTTGTTCCAGTACTCACTTATTCTTTTGGAGTTATACATTGGGCTCACACAGATCTCGAGCAACTCCAAAGGAAAACAAGAACAACACTTACTAAGCATAAACAGCGTCATCCTAAATTCGTCATAGAAAGATGTTAATCTTTCACGTAAAGATGGCGGACGTGACCTGATTGACAACATTAACCTTCAATACAAACAAATACAGACACTGCGAGAGTTTTCCTACAAAAAAGAAGAAACATCACAGTTACATGAAGCAATAGCTCTAGCAGACTCAAATAACACACCATTAAATTTCCACTCACAACATATAAAAGGCATAGACATCATCAAGCAATCATGGGTGCGAAAGGCACTCCATGGCGGGCATCCCTACGACTTGGCCCAGGATTTTATTGACAAAACTGCGTCAAACAGCTGGTTAGCTAGGGGATGCCTCATTGGGGAGACGGAAGGATTCATAATTGCCATACAAGATCAGGTCATAAATACTAAAAACTACAGAAAACATACTCAAAGATACAACACTCATAAATGACACATGCAGAAAATGTCACATCATGTCAGAGAATATACAACACATCACTTCTGGTTGCAAGCTCTTGGCACAGACAGATTATTTACATAGACATAATCAAGTAGCAAATATAATACATCAAGAGTTTGCAAAGAAACACAAATTATTAGACATCTATGAACCATACTATAAATACATTCCACAGACAGTATTGGAAAACAACACGCCTAAAATGTATTATGAGAGAATCATATTCACAGATAAAACAATTTACTACAACAGACCAGACATCACACTCATTGATAAAGACAATAAAATCAAATACATTATAGACATATCCATTCCAAACACTCACAATATACAAAACACGTGCACTGAAAAATCAGCAAGTACACAGAACTCTCCTAGAAAATAAGGCATCTGTGGAGGATGGATAAGGTACTTATTGTACCTGTCGTTCTCTCGTCTACAAGTGTCATACCCCACACACTACACAAAAGCCTGGGCACATTAAAATTGAATAGAAACATATACATTACACTACAGAAGGCCACTATATTGTATGCATGTCATATTGTTAGGAAATTCCTGAATACAGAAACACACACTGACACACTTATTTAATTTTGGTTATTATACCTTGACTCTGGTCCGGCTTAGTACACAGCCATTGCTGTCAACCGAGTGTAACTCACTAAACCCAACATAATAATATAAATAAACTGCAGGTAAATTTCTAAATCCCGCCGGGACAAAAGTACAGTTACGAACTAACGGAACATCAAATTATACGAGTTTGAATTAACGAAAATTTCCTGTAGCATTTGCAAAAAGATTGTATTTCGGATGGTCCAATAAACCATAAACGTTNTTTATCAGTCTTTAATTTTTTTTAGAGTATTTTACTTTACTCCTGCTTCCTTCCGTTCTGTACTAAGATTAGGAGATTTAGTCTTACATGGGCTAGACTAAGAATTTTACTTTTTGTCCATATAATTTTCTACTGCTGTCCTGTATAGCTTCTTGGAAATGGGGAGAATTATTTATGGTCTCGGCCGGCAGTAGTTGTGAAGCGCGAGAGATGATGATCGTCCATTTATGTAAAACCTTTTGACTTTTCCTTTTTGACGTCTTCTCACTATTTTAACCTAAAACAATTAACTGAGCCGTCAATATTTCGCTTAAAATGTTAAATAGAACTATCTGATGCTGTCTACCATACGCGGATGACCGAGCGATTAAGGTGTCAATATACCGCTCTTGGTGACCCTGAATCGAACCTGGACGGATCGAAACACCCCAGGGGTTAGTTCGTCCAGATAGGTCGGTCTCTGTCCCTCACCATTCAATTTTGAGCCTGGCCAAACACATAATAAGCGTGCTAAAAAAAAGGCCCTCTTAGTGCCTACAAGGCGGAGAGAGTTAAAAGAATTAACCATAATATTGCACGAAAGGAGCACAAAGTTAAAACAAAATATCTCAAGTGTGAGCATTATATGCCTATTTATTAAATGAATTAAGGGTTTAAATGAAAAAAGAAGAGAGTAGATATTTTTATATATATAGAAAGTTTATTCATGTCATGCTTTCTCTCTTTTAGCAATTATATATGCTAAGGTTTATATTGATGTATACACAATAGTTTGTGCTTAAGATATTAATTTCGGTACTAATCTGTTAATGGACGTAGAAGCCTTAACAGATTCAATTTAAATGTTCATTCTAACTATGAACGTTGAAATTTGGCATACAGTATTGTTAAATTTCTTCTCGACTTACCGACATTTCTGTCCTTTCGACAGAAATAAAGCATTGAAATGAACACCGAAGAAAAGAAAAGATTAATTAGAAATCAAGATAGAAAAATAAAATTATATAATTTAAAAAATTTTTAGAAAATTAAGTTTCCTTTAATCTTTTAATTCAGTAATTATAGATTAAAAAGCTTAGAAATTTTCATGTTATTTCATTACATAAAATCAAATTTACATTATGTATACATCAAACACCGTGCATTTAAAGTTTCATGAACAATAAATATCGTAATTCAATTACTATATTTGAAAGTAAATGTTACATATATGACCTAGTTTCGCGGCGCTACAATCGACAGATAACGTAATGATTTCCAGTTACATGGAGAGTTTGGTCTGTATTTTATTCTATGGTATGTATAACGTCACCGTTTCGGATAATCGAATTTCTACCTATATAAATTATTCATTTACATTAGATTTCAATGTAGAAAATAAAAATTTTTAATAACAAATTTATTTTAAATATTATAAGCGAAATCTGTATATATATATATATATGTATGTATGAAGATTATTCAGACAAAATCGATGTTTAAATCGTTATTCCAATATTTAGATCAATATTCTAATTGTACCAACAACAGCTTTACGTCAATAAGTTTACCGTTATTTTCTTTTAGTATGTCGTCGATATTAAAGTGAAAAAGTCAACAATGCTGGCAAAAATCTATTTATTTATAAATAGAAGATTTTGCCACCGTTCTTTAGCTATTTGTAAATCTTATAATATAATCTAGATGGGTTAATAATAATAATCATAAGCACAGAGTCTAAACGGTTAGGAGTTAAATGTTGAAATTTGGTACACAGTTATGGTACACACTCTATGTGACAGGGGATGAAAACCAGGACGAATCAGTGGTATTGCCTGGGGTAAAAGAGAGGAGATAGGAAAGTATGAAGAGGTGAAGGGGAAAAGTGAAAGAGGAAAGGAAAGGGGATGAGATGGGAGTCTAATGAGCTCCTGCACCGGGTATTTTATTAACAGAATAAATAAGACAAATGCAACAATTGTAGGTAAACGAAACAGAAAAGACCCGGTTACATCTCGCTATTTGCGAGTGAGTGTGACAAATGCATAAAGTGAACTTAACCGATTATAATAATAAACAACGCTTTTTGCCCGCGACTGTAAATTAGACAGAATAGTCTAAAAATAGTCTAAATAGTCTAAATAGTCTAAAAAAACAAGTCACAAAGCTTATAAACAATTTTTCAAAACTTAATTACATAGATAATAACACTACTAAATATATTAAATGTTTTGGCAATAGAATCCCGAAAATAAGCTTTAGAGTAAAAACACACAAAAATCCTATTACTTATCGTCCCTTAATAGATATTCGAAAATATTTACTATACAACCTTGAAATAGCGATAAAAAAAGAGTTAAATAAATTACCCGTCTCTGAGTATAGCATCACAAACACTGACCAATTCTTACACAACTTGAAAGCTATTGTTATGAAAGAAAACTACAGAATGGCATCACTAGATGTTAACAATATGTATCCCTCAATAAACTTAGAATTAATTTTAACTTCACTGTCCTATGTGAAGAGCCCAGATTGGATTAACCAATTAGTTAAATTAGTATTAAATAATAACTTTTTTGAATTTCAAGGTAAATATTACCGCCAATCGGAAGGTATTCCAATGGGATCCTGCATAGGACCTAGATTGGCTGAGTTGTGTATGATCACAATCGATAAAGAAATCAACAAAACCCAGGGCATAATAAGTTACCAAAGATATGTAGATGACTGTTTCATCATCTATGATAAAAGCATACTAGATATTGACTCTTTTGTTTGTGGGATTAATTTAATAAATAAAAATGTCCAATTTCAATGTGAAAAAGAAGTAGATAATAGACTGAATTACTTAGATCTTACTGTTGTTAGATTAAATGGCAAATTATTATTTAAAAAATATGTTAAAGACTGTGCTACCGATAAAGTTATTGACTTCAAATCTAATATACCTTTATATATAAAAAAGAACACTTTTCAAATGTATATCAACAAAATTAAAGAAAGAACGACCTTGCACACTGATCAAGAAATGGAAATACAAAATATAATAAGAATGTTTAATCTAAATAATTACCCTAGAACATTATTGATTAAGTGGTTGGAAGCAAGTAAAGGCAAAAGGAAAAATATATCGTTAAATAGACAACCAATAGATGTTAAGACTGTGTACCTAAAAATAGAATATGTTTTTGGTGTTTTTGAAAAATTAAAAAATGAATTAAAAAGATTAGATATTATTTTAGTACCAAACCACAAAAGCACCATAGCAAATTTGCTAAACAGTAAACATGGTAACATTGAACATAATGTTTTAGAAAAAGATAATGTAGTTTACTCATTAGATTGCAGTTGTTCACATAAAAAAAGATATGTAGGGGAAACTGGTAGAAAATTAAAGACAAGAATTAAAGAACATATATATGCCATCAAAAATAATTTAATATCATCATCAGTGGCACAACATTGCAACACTGAAGGTTGTGAAATTTTAAAAGATAGCATCAAGTGTATTATGACAGAAAACAATCAACTTAAAAGAAGACTACAGGAACACCTAGAAATTCTGAAGATACAGGAAGACATCAGAATTAATAACAACATGGGACTGAAGCTACATGAGGGGTGGATTGACATTGTTTTCACTTAACCTTGAAACAGATGCTGAACAGATGTGGGGAGTTTAGGCACATCACCTTGTAAAATGCAGATGGACAGTGCAGTTGACTTCACAAAGGCTTATAGATTAGTTGTATTTTGTTTTGTGTTAAAATTTGGAGACCAATTGGTTTAATAAGAGTAAGTTCATTGTTGGATTCCTCTCCCCT